ATCTAAGTTTCTCGAGGAAAAAAATGAAGTTGTTTAAAATGTGAAATATTATTTAAAGCGGAAAACATTGTCAGAATGTCTGATTTAGCATAATCATAACTGTCAAAACGCCTCTTATGCAAATGCCAACTGAAAATTGTCTTCCGAAGGCACTCGCACAATTTGTGAAAATTAATGGACAACTCAACATTTTAGCATAAATATAACGATAAACACATCAACGCCCAGATAACAATTTTGAGTATCATTAAGGACGAATCCGAACCCCTTTAGGGCTAGACGATATGCCTGGGAAAATGCCAGACGCCAACACAAATAGACATAAATTTAAATGGCTAAGGGCCTCCGTTTGCAATCTCCATGCTTCCACAATACCGCAATCCTCCATCCCCCCAAGTCTGTCAAAACAAATGTTTGCCGGGAGGAGAAGAGTAGAGCTGGGAATGCAGGGCAACTGCAATATTGCAAGTTGCAGCTGCTGGTCGGATGGCTGCAACTTGCAACTTGCAACCACCAACTGTGACTGTCCTTTGGTGGTTATTTTGATGCGCTTGTGCCCGCTGCTGTGGCTGCGATGCCACATAATCAGGACAAGTATCCTGGGTGTGCGACATTCTGCCAGGTTGCTTCTGCATTATAATTATTATTTTCCATGCACTTCTATGCACTGAAACAATGGGATTGCCTCGAAAAATGTTTATTCGATGACTTTAAAATTGTTTTATTTCTTTATTTGGTTTCTGGTATAACTATAGTTGTTTAACAAGTTTTTTTTAGCTTTTACCAAAACCAAGCAGTGTTTGTTCGAAATTTGCATTATACTTAAGTCACGCAAGAGCTTCAATAAATCGTATGGTAGTGCAATTAAGAACAAGGCTGTATAAAAAATTATTTAATAACTCCTTTAATTTGTGGATAGAACGAAATATTTTTATGGTTTGAATATTATTATTATCGTTATTTATTTTATATTTCTTATATTATTACTTAATTGGTGGTAAGGTACTATTAACTTTTAATAATACTATTAAATATTTCAGAGGTACATGTATTACTAAACAGAAAAAATTTCACCTAAGATCAGATTGATATGGGCAGGTCAATTTAATATTTTTTAAGGATAAAGTTTGTTATATCATTGTGATATGAATAAAGATTATCTTTAAAAAAATTTTAAATAGTATTTTTATATGATATAATATCAAGTTGATATTTTGGCATCATAATTGAAATAAGGTACAAATGACCCTATTTAATATCTAAAGTCGGATTTTACTGAAAGTAAAATAGTTTATAAATTATAATACATAATATTTATTTAATAGATTAAAATATTTCTCTGTCTGCAAAGGGAGTTACCTTTGTGGGAGCTCTTTAGCCGGCTTTATTCATCTGGCCTGGCTTCAATGTGCAGGTGACATTACTGCGGAAGAAGAATGAGGCAGCACAGCAGCAACAAACTTAGCCTTGAGCAAAAGTTGAGCTCTGGCCCCGTGATGATGATTTATGCACGTGTTTAGTGTGAAAAATTTACATTAAATGCATACATGGTAGCGAAAGTGTTGCCGAGAGAATCCTTTTGCACACTTCTGTGCCCATTTGAGGATATATGTATGTGGGTTGTTAGGAGGAGGAGGAGGGGGCAGGGCTTGTGGCTTGTGGTCGGCACAGGAAGTGAAAGTGTGTGCGAGGGGTGACTCTTGGTTCCGTATTGGGGTCACTGGTCATTATCAAGATGTAGCTAAAGAAATTCCGTAAACTGGAGCTGCGACGAGTCCAAGTCCCCCGGCTCCCTAGTGCTGCCGTCTTGGCTCATTTGATATGCAGGGCAGATAAAGGCCAACGCGCATTCAGCCCTCATCTCCCAATGTTTGCCCGAAAGAAAGAGGAGCGAGCCAACAATGAGGCGATAGTTTAATGGCAGAGCAAACTGTTGAGCAAGCACATCTTCTTTGCCAAGCCATCGAACGAGGGGAGTTCCTTGAGTAGGAAACCAGTAAAGAGTTTAAACTTTTTAAATTTATTTATTTATTATTGCTTTGATTTTAGTTTTACAATATAAATTGGAGTATAAACTCGAAAGCATGGTTGTGTAATAATAAATTTTTAGCTCAAAGTCATTTCATTACAACTAAATTCATTCTCTTCTTCTTAGACCTTGCAAATTAACTACATACAGTTAAGTGCAATTGGTTTATTTTGAATATATTAAAAATGCATTTAGCTCATATCAAAATAGATCGGGTTAAAAAAAAAAGTTATTTTAGTTAAATTGATTTAGGCCTGGCTTAGGATAGGTTTAGGCCAATAAACGATAAATAATATTTAAAGCGTCTAAGGTTGAAAATTGACTATTTTCACTGATGAGCTTGCATTTCATCCCCAAATTGACTTTTCTTGCTCTTTGAAAGATTTTTATTTTTTCTCTTTTTTGTTTTTTACCTACGGCAAAGGAGCTTGCCGGATTTCCTACTGTAGAGAACCATTTGAAAGGAGGCGCAATAATTCTTTTCTCAGCTGGCGGCTTTATCCTTTCACACATTTCACGCCCAAAACGCGGTGGGAATGGCAGGCCACGCCCACAGTCTGACGAAACGCCTTTCAATTTCAGCCGTACATTTTTGCATTGCATACTTTTGAACGTTGTGTGCCAGGAAAAGCCTGCAATTGTTTGCACTTTTCCCCACTGGGTTCCTGCGGCATCCCGTCTGCAATTTACGCGTCCCTGTTTGAGCCTTTTGTTAACAGAAGAACAAGAAAAAACTCAGGGAAAATGGAAAATGAAAAGAAATTGCTTCAAAACTCACCTTTGGGGCCATCGCCACCTTTCTGAACGGTAGATTTTCACTTTTCTTTCTCCGCATATCATGTATGCACATATTTTAGTCTTTTGGTGTTGGCCTTAAAACAAATTGCATAGACATTTGTTATTTCGTCTAAGACGGCTTTCAGCTTGTTCTATTGGTATTTATTTCCCTGCCCTTATATACATGTTAATATATGTACCCATCATTGCATATACGTATGTACTTTTCGTCCGATACATTCCTACATTTGCGAAAAAAAAGAAATAGCAAAAGGAAATTGCATTTTTATAACCATACTACGTTTCCTTTCGGATTTCTTAAGTCCCTTTTATACCTGTTGTTTATTTATTACCTTTTTCTCTCCGACTGACTGAGTTTGTATGTCTTGAATGTGCGATTTTCTTCGTTTCGCTTTTTTGGCTTTGTCTCTTGCATCTTCAGGCTTTTATTTTTTGTCCGTTTTTTTTTTGGGCTCAAACTTTCTTCTAACGATTTTCCCGCCCCATGTGGGCCCACGTGCAAAGGTGTCTTCACTGGTAAAGGTAAAATTTATAATGTGAATTCTGGTATTTAAAGACAAATTTTATGGCTTTTTAGTTGACAGTCGAGAGCCGACAGCATAATTCAGGTGCCCACAGAAGTAGGCAATGCTATTTTTATGGCACTTGATGTCGTTTCCCCAGGTCTCATATTTTCCCAAATAACGATTATAAATATTTTTCCCAAGACTAGCAATATAATAACGGAAAAGCACTTTAACTAATTACAATTTGTTTTCTTTATTTTCAGGTAATTTCACTGACGTTAATCATGGGTAAAAGAAAGTTTTCCAGTGGTGAAATCGTAAACTTGGTTCTTTATAATATTTTGTAAAATTTTATTCTGGAACAATGAACGTAATCATTTGTCAAAGTATTTTTGAAACAATGATAACTTAACTAAGTTTTTTTAAGTAGGTTTTTTATAATTCTTAATAAATTAACCAGAAGTAGTGCGGGAAAATTATCGATATTTTCACAATATCGTTTCGATGTTTTTAAAGAAAAAAAAAGATTAAATATCGATATGTCGATATTTTTTCAAGTTTCGAGTTTTTCAAGAAAGTTTTTCCTTCAGCCAAGTCGGTTGAAACAGTTTAAAGTCTAGAATGGCTGAACAAACTAGTTTGGTTTAGTTGAGCAAAAGTAAATAAGCCAAACTGTCATGGCTGGTTGACCGATGACCGAAAGCCATTCATTTTAAGAGACATCATAATCAAGTCCGCCGGGAAGGTCGGGCAAAGTGCAACTGGAAACGCTATCTATCATGTTGCATGCTGCGTGTACAAAACGGAAATTATTTATTAATTGCTCACACCACCGCATACCGGGTGGCCACAGAAGAAGAAGCGAAATCTGCGCACAATTAAATCGATATAAAGAGTGGCACAGCAAACATCATGGCCGGCTGACCAAGCCCACAAAATATTTCATGCGTTGTCGAACGAAATGAATGCATAAATAATTGATTTAATTTTCGTGTTGACTACAAATGAAGCGCTTAAACGAATGGATGAAGGCAGTGGAGTGCGGTTCATTGGCCAGAACAGGAGCATGGCTCATAATATATGCAAATTTCGCATTATCAACGCGTAACAAACAAATAAATGCATTCTAAAAACCGAAAATAAAAGCAGTGTAAATAAAAGGGCATCAACATTGAATATGAAAACTTGGGATACTGATTAAAACATGGCTTACTAAAACGCATTATTTATAGGACTTAAAAAAATATAACCATAGAGTATTATCATGTTGAAAGTTAATCTTCGTTATCATTCGACGTATTATTTAATTTCTTTTAGTGTAATAAATATGACAAATAGACTCAGCTGCAACTGAATTGTACTGGGAAAAGGCATTTACCAAATTTTTGACACTTTTCGTTTTTATAAAATATGCAACTTATTGTGTGGTTTCTGTGTCTATAGAAACATTTGCTCTAATGTAAACATAAATTATACATTTTTGTTTGAAATGTTTTTTATTGCTGTCTCTGTTGCTTTTTTTCTATTCTCTATGTCACTGCTGTCATTTTATTAAAATTATTTATTCATGAGTGTGTAAAACCCAAAAAGTTTTTTTTTTGGAAAGGGACAGCTTAAATTAAAGCATCAATATGTATCTGGTTTTTAAAGCTAAAACTAAACTTAGATGGTTTTAAAGTAGTTCGCTTTAATTCGGAAATAAAAGCAAAGCTCAGGATAAATTTAAAATTTAAAAAACTGTTATATAAATTAATACAAAGTGAAAACGCCAACTTTGTTAATCATCGAAGCCAAATAAGAAATTTCCAAGGAACGGAAATCGAATTTCACAAAACTCCAGATTATGTAGCCTCCTTCTTCTTATTCGAGTTGGTGCCGTCATTGAAGGGTTGTATGTCGCCCGAGGCCCAAATGCAGTAGACAATCGCCGTGACGACGAGCACGGCAAAGGCCACCCAAAAGACAATTCGCCACTCCAACAGGGTTGCATTCGGTGTCATAACGCCCACCAGGTAGGGCGATATAACGCCCGTGATCGCACCAATGCCATTGGTGATGGCCATCAAAGTTCCGGCATAATTGGGGCTCATGTCCAGCGGCGTTAGCTTCATGCCGGCATAGTAGGTGCCCATGAGACCCATGCAAATGGTAAATAGGGCGACGACCAGGGCGCGATTGCAGCCGGCATAGGAGGCGCCGACCATGAAAACAGCGGGTCCAAAGGCGGCCAATCCCGTCATCAGTTTCCGCGTGTTCGTAGTGTTCATGCAGTTACGTTTAATCATCTGATCGGCCACACAGCCGCTGGCCAGCGACATGACCCACATGGTGACATAGGGCAACGAGGAGTACAGTCCATTCGACTTGATCGAGAAACGCAGCACATCGGCCATATACTTGGGCAGGTAGGAGACCATGATGTAGAATCCCCAATCGTGACCGATCTGAGCGCTAATCAGTGCATACATGGGCACGTTCGTGAAGATGGCCTTGAAGGGCGTCTTCGGTTTGTTCTTATCCCGTGGCGGAATCTCCTGGGCCAAGAACTCGCGCTCCCTTGGCTTGATAAATGGATGCGAGTAGGGACTACTGAAGCACAGCAACGTGAATATTATAAACCAAGCGATGGCGATTATGGCAAAGACGTAGAACACCCACGGCCAGTCCATCGAGTCGAGTATTAAGCCGGAAAGCAAATTGCCAGCGATGCTACCGACCTGACCACCGCCCAGGACCAAAGCTCCCAACATACCGCGTTCATTTGCCGGAACCCAGGCGGCCAACAAGACACTCAGCGCGGGAAAGGTGGTGCCTTCGCCCAGTCCCATGAGAACTCGAAGGACGATCAATGCATCGGCACCGCCATAGACAATACATACCGGTGTGATGAGAGTAAATATAGCCGTTGCAAGGATTCCCAGGCTCAAGGTCCACTTGCCGCCAAATTTATCGGCCAATATGCCGCCCGGCAAATGGGTTACAATGTAGCCAATGTAGAACGAGGCCAGAATCAGTCCCTGTTTCTCCTCGGACCACTCATAGCTGCCGCCTTCGCGAGCCACTGGACCCGCGCTATCTTCGTCCGGCTCACAAATGGATTCGCCCTTTGCCTTGGCCGTGTAGTTTTGCCTAACCACCAGCACTGTAATGGCCTGCGAGAGACAAACCCTCATGGTGTACGCGTTGAAGATGGCAAAGAAGCCCATGATGGCCAGGATCCAACGTTGAGGCAATACAAAGAATTTCGACATCTTTAAGCCCCACGCGGGCTGCTGCGGCGTATCGGCCATTGTTGTATACCAAAATTTGTACAGTGCACTTCTTGCTTAAAATTTATTTAATAACTTATCTAAAATTTAGTTCTTAACCCATTGAAATTTATAAGTGAGTGCCTACTCTATTTGATGGCAAGTCAAAAGCCATCCCTGCAAGCATGCATGATTGAAAAATTACTTGAGTGTTTTCAAAACTTGGTTAATCACCAATACCTAAGGATTTTTATTATATTTCGTTATGACCATGGGACTGTCTTATTATTTTAATATAATATAAAATATTATTTAATATAAAATATAAAATTAATGTATAACAATTGCAAATGCACATTTTTATAAGTTAACATTTTTTAAATCGGTCTATTCATTAAAGAGTTATAAAAACATACTTGTTTGTTATAATAATGCCACCGTTTAAAAAGTATAATATAAAATATCGAAATAGGTTAATACATAGAAAAAAATTTGACTAAGGATCAGAATGATAGGTGCAGGTCAAATTATTATTTCCATAAATTTTAAATTAGTCATATCAGCTTTTAATTGATATGAAATACGGTAGAATTTACCCCTTTATGATCTAACATTTTTTGTGTAATAATTTTAAATACATATTTTCATAAATAACTAAAAATACTCTTGTTTACAGAGTTATTATATTTTTGTTTTCACTTTTTCGGCAGTTCTACGAAAGCACTTAGCTCAGCATATCAACCATATGTGTAAAAATTATGTGCCCCCGAAATAACCCACTTCCTGTTCTCATATGCTAGCTGTGGATTCTTTTTTTTTTTTTGTATTTTGTTTACCCGACTACTTGGCGATACAGAGCCAGTCCCAAGATGTCCCTAACAATTACATTTCTCTCACAATTTATGTATGTTTTGCAACCTTTTCTTCTTCTTTGCCTGCGTCGTCGTCATCTATTGTTTTGAATAAGACTGAGTTGAGTCACATATGTGTGTGGCGGTTGGATGGCAGGATGGCAGGATGGCAGGATGGGAGTTTGTGTGGGTTTCGACAACCGCAGGCGCAGGTCCTTGCGGTGGCCTAACCGAAGAAGGGCTTCCATTTTCATCATCATAAAGTCTGTTGAAAGGAAATCGATATGGGCAACTTAATCATGAAATGAAGTCGCCGTCAAGTTGTCTTTCATTTTCAATTCCATTCTCAGCACCTCGTACTTGCCTCTTTCCCCACCCCCCGTCTATAGGTTCCCTATCCAACTTGCAAAACCCGCCGGGGCTTTTTGTTTACCTATAGAGTGCGAAGGGCCAAAAACTTTTCCCTAGGTTTAGTTGAGTTCAGTTCAGTTCGGTTTGGATCGGCGTGGTTCATTTTGCTTCGCCTCGGTTTTGGCTTGACTGGAATTGTTTTGTTTGTTTGTTTTCATGTCTAAGTTAGCTTACTTTTGTGAAAAACTTTTTCCCTGCTATCCGCTATGGCTTATGCTTTCAATCACCGTTTCGTTTCGTTCCACTGAAACTCTGCGCCCCTGTTGCTAACATTTTGTGTTCATTTCCGTTTCGACTTCCTTTGCAGCTTCGTCAGGTCCGTCCTATCCGTTCTAGCCCAGAAATGCAGGTCAGGTCAGTTCGGTGCAGTATTATATTAATTTTTCTGGTTTTCCCCCTTGGTTTTGGGGTCAAAATCCTGTTCAGTGGCCCACAGGAAATGGCAAAGAGCTTGAACGTAGTTAATCAGATATTGTAAATTTAAAAAGTTGCTTTAAAAATATTTCCTAATTTTGCAACCAGGATTAATTAATATTTGCTTTGTATTCCAATGACCAATGGGATTTGGAATTGATTTCCATTGATTTTATATCGAAATGCAAAAGCTAAAAAGATAGGTACTTTTAAAACGGCTAAATTCGTAGTGAGTTTGTTTTTAAGTAATCCTAAAAATCAGAAAATAAAACTGAGCTCAAAAGTGACTGTGTGGGAAGGTTAAGTTAAAATGTCAATAGGATTGTCGGCATTGTCATTCCTGAATTTTGTACCGTATATCGCCAACCATGCACTGACCCACTTTGGGTGGGTAAGCCCTAGCGAAAAAAAATTCTTCAATTATTCGCCAACACCCGCTTACCACCCACTGACCGCCCAGTGACTGACGTTCAGCAAGGTCCGCGATAAAAAAATTGTATGACAGCAAAGGGCCATGCCAGGAGAAATATTTTATGAGGTGGCGTACATTTTTCATGTTATTTAAAGTTCATTAAAAAATACGTCAGGAAATGGAGAAAATGATGAAAATAAAGTGTACAGGACATTTTTTATTATTTGTCGACTAGAAAAGACATTTTATTTTAATATTTTTTATTTATTCTATTAAGTTGTGGCAAAATATTTAAATAAACTATACAAATAATATACAAATTTTCAATTAAATAATATTATTTTGAGTTTCATCTAATGTGATCCCTGCCGTGAATGTTTTGTATTTTTTTAGAGTTTGTATTTCTACGTGCTGTACATTGTTCAGTACAAAGTCAAAATGAAAGTCGACTTGGCTTAAAATATGTATTCGTTCCTCTTTTTTTAGTCAATGTTTGACAACTTTACGGTTCACCATATTTTGTGAATAAATGAAACTTTTTCTTTATGTTTATTATGTGAATGTATATATCCATCCATTTGCCTCGCTCGACAGTATTTTAAACTTTATTCATGCCTCTTTCCATGTCACTGCTCAGTCAGTATACTGTTGTTTGTTTCCGAGAGAGAACAAAATACGGAGAAATGGTATAAGTTATTATTTTTTTATTTTTGCTCTTTTCTTGTTGCTGGCTGCTTTTGCTGCTGAGTGAATGTTTCCATACATTCGTTATTTTGCTCTTGTTTTCTCATATTTTAACAACCAGCATATTTTTGCCAGTTCAATCGTAGGAGGAGGAGGAACCATCATGTTTCCACTCGTCCTTGGCCTGTGGAAATTCTTCAGTTTTGTGATTGAAAGGCATTTTGGTTGGCTTAGTTTGGGTTGTTCGGGTTGTTGTTGGCATGGCTGCGGGGCTTGTAATGCGTATGCTCAACAATTCCGTTGCATGTCACATTGTTGCCCGATATGCCTGCAACATAGTTGAGCAAAGCTTTTTGTTCCCTTCCACTCTACTGCTGATAAGTGTTGCAACGTGCAACTATTAAATAGTTTCCCAGCTGCCATTTTCAAGTTTCTTGGCCCACGGCCCATTCTTGAGGAACTTCTTGTGCTGTGCTACTTGGATGGCAACTTAAGGATGAACAAATTTCTGACTAAAGTTTTAATCGAGGTCAATTTTTTTTAAAGTAATATTACATTAAACTATTTTTTAAGAATTTATTAGGATATTCATTCAGTATATTTATTAGTATAGAATATTATATCTATTTTGTAAGTTGACTAATACTTCTAATTTAATAAATTAAGGCAGAAACGATATATTTTCATGCAATTTTAAATTTCTTAACTATATCCTTGTCTAAACTTTGGAAGGAAAATCAAAAGACCTTAATTAAATTGTTGAATTGAACCGATTAGTTTTAAAAGTCATTGTTTGTAGGAGATGCAGCGTGTGCTTACTAATTGAGAAATTTAATAGGCATTCCGGATATTATTCAATTGATTTTGGTTTCGTAGTAGATTGATTCAATAGCTTAATTATTATTTACAAATACAATGAAATAGCTTGAACTTCGTTTGCTACTCACCTGTCTGTCATCTCGTCGTCATCGCTCCAGTCTGGCATTTTACTGAAATTAACAAACATCCATAATTGTTTTCATATTTGAGTTTGTTTGCCTACGTCTCAAGTAGTGGCTGCACTCAATGGATTTAGTGGATAACTGAAATGGTTTTGGTTGCCGTGATTGTGAGAGCTTCTCTATTGCGGTTTTGGAGCTCATTAAAATTTTGGTTTTGCTGAATGTCTGGTTTTGAATATTGTGTGGTATATGTATTCATCTCACTCTAAAGAGCGCTGCTCTATAGGATGTTTAAACCATGTGTGCAACAACTCTTGTAACAGCTAACGAATTGGTAATCAATAAATATATTTTTGGCTAGAAGCTATAATTTAAATTTTATGGAGCATTAATATTAAATAAATGCTTGAACTGCTTTTATTTCCAAACCCGAAAATAACCCAATCGATAATTTAATTAAGTGAACTACAAAAAGGCTACAGATGCGACAGCATTCTCCGTAAATTGTGAACTGGTGAAGCAATTAGTGAAAAAGTTACGTTTCAGAGGTGGGGACTTCACTTTGGTTGTCCCAGTGGTCACATCCGCTAAAGTCCGGTAGGTAGGACCTTTTATTCGTAGCTCCGTAGCCCATCCAAATTACTGACACATCAGTTGGTATTGTCTTTTGCCTTTGTCTACGGAAATAGCGCATCGGGAAAATCAAACTAATCAGTTGAATGATTGGCGTCGACAGCCGACGATGAACAATGGCCACGTCCGACATCCTCTCGATATCCTGCGAATGAATGTTGTCTCTCGTTTCAGGAAACTTTTTCACCTTTTTCGCATTTAACGAGATTTTCTCCTCCCTTTCCATCCTGTCTGTCGTATGGAAATTGTTCGATCGAGGGCATGGCATAGCTAAAATTACTTTATAGCTTGCTTTATTTAGTTTATATCGCGCAGGGCTTTCTTTTTTCTCAGCTTTTACCCCCTTTTTCACTGGCATTTTTTAATTTGCCTTAATTTGAACCCGCCTGGACATCAATTATATAGCTATCTTGGCTGGACTGGCTTTGGCCTCCTTTAACCAAAGTGGATTAGCTTTGTGCTCGGAGTGGCGGAGCGCTACTTCAAGTTAATTTGTTATGCAAAAATTACCCTAGTGCTTTGGCCTATTAATGGTAGCTTTTGTGGCTATACTTTTAAGGGAGAAATCGCCTTAGGTGAAATGCGGGTCTGGATTCCAGATTATGGTTTCACCTTGTTGTTGTATACAGTTTCTTTAGGGTAAACTTCTTAATTGAATGTATTTGTTAGTGGATTATAGGTATAATCCGTGTAAAAAACAAATTAAGTACGCTGAAA